GTCCCATGATATTTGGTCGTCGTTATGTGGTAAATGTCTAATGTGAAGTTTTGTTAGTGGTGATTGAACGTGATGAAAAGTGTTTGGGCATCTGTATATTTATAATGTGATGACGGTGACGTCTCCACGGAATGGCTCTCCGTTATCTATCGTTTAGATAGTAAATTTTTTTTGACTGAGTGCTTTTTTTCTGGTTGTTAATTTTTTTTTCCAATCGAAATAGAAAATGGATTTCTTTTATTAGATTAAGGGAGTCGAGAAGTGAAATCAAAACGATGAAGTGCATAATATAATTAAAAATCAAAAACAAATTTTGTTAGTGACAGTTGATCGTCATTCGTCGCCCTTGTCGTTGTGTATGATGTAACGTAAGTGTCTAGAGTGGCTACGTTAACACTATGAAGAGAACGTTTTATATTTTTCCAGAACATGTCTGTGCGGGCCGGGTTTTGTCTCCAACCCAGCTTATCCAACATGGCTTTTCTAACTTCTTCCTCCCCCCTGCATAACAAAATCATTTGGAACTGAAAGTGAGAAAATGTGTGTGCTATGTTTTACTGGAACCTATACTGTTATAGATAACTTAGATTATGTGTATATTAGGGTTGTTACAGAGTAGTAACTAAGTAAGTAATTTTTTGGGAGAACTTGCAGAAAGGGAAGAGTTGATTGTTTGGTTATGTACGGTTTCCACTTTCCCGTTTAATTGATTTCTGAGTTTGGTAATATTGTAACGTTAAAGTGGGAAGTATTTGTGTAGAACATGTCCGTTTCGTTTATTTTCTCTATCTGGATAGTTTCATTTTTAACGATTTAACATGTTGAGTTTATGAGTCCTTCTCTGAGTTCCTGTACGTTTTCGCTCTTTCTAGCTTCGGATGGAGTGTATTGCCTGCTTTGTGTATAGTTATTGTTTTCACCATATTGTCAAGCAGACATATGTTTAGATTCTTTGAAGTGTGACACAATATATTTTTCAGATGGTTAAATGTAGAGGATGACTTTTTGTTAGTGTGACATATATTTTCATACTTTTGGGATCGCCAAAACAATAATATAATGTAACGTCTGATGGTCTGGAGTTGTAGAACTTCGTGGATGCTGGACATGGCTAATGAGCCCCACAAATGGGTCCGAAATTTTCGTATGATTCTAAACTCTAAGTTGATTTACTAACACTAATATGTCTAAAGTATATAAGCTACCAGTGGAAATGAACCAAGTCATTAGTAATCCAATTTTTTTTAAAAAAGTAAATTAAACCTTGAACATGACTACAACGGAGACCAAGGTTTAAAGAACATATGAGTATTTTTGGCTGAGTTGCTGATCAATGGTTTCGTTGATGGCACATATTTTGGATACCGACCAATTAGCGCTTGACTTAATTTAAATAATGATATATTTGGATCTTATGATTGTTAGAGCATGATTATATTGGACAAACTGAAAATATATTATAATCTTTCCCATCGATTGTCATTATTTTTGGTCTCTATGATATTTTTTTTTCTTTCTACAACCCTCATCTTCTTTGTATTGGCGTGTGCAGCTTCTTCTGCTCTCATTTTTTTTGTTCCTTTCTTCTTACTTTCACCTCGGATAATTTAAGCTTCGGCTCAGATGAAATTTCATTTTTGGCTTTTTGTAGCTATCCCAATAAAACTCTAATTCACACCTTCCTTCTTCCATTTCAGCTTCTGCAATGTTCACTGACCAGAAGTGAGCCTCTCCTTTAATAGTTTGGTTCTTGACCTCTCAGCCCGAAATTGTATCACTGAAGCTCTTATCTTCTCCTTGGTTTCATCACTGTGAGAGACAAACTCAGCAATTTTAATGGTGGTGTATGATACATGAAAACAATGAATTGTGAGCCCGTCAGACAACTAAGACACCGTAGATCTCATGCATAGATTTGTATTTAGGCGTAGAACTTTATTCACATTGTCATTTACGTGACCGGGTCTCATTTTAGTAGCCAGTTTTGTAGAAGTAGTTATCATGAAGGAGCAAAAATATAAAAAGAATTACCTCAATATCAGCATCAGATGCGTCAAAGGAGACATAGCTAATGAAGCTGAAACCTTGTGAGTTCCCAGTATCATGATTTCACATTATCTAAAATGAAAAGTTGGAGCATCAGATTCTTAAGCGTACAACCATTCTTTTTCCCCACCACAATGAAATATATACTCATAGATTAAAGATAGTATATCATCAACAATAATAAAGATTCTACCTTAGGATTAGAAGAAATGCTACCAAATGCGCTGAAAGTATCATACACAATCTTTTCATCCACATCCTCTAAAGGCAAAAAAAAAACGATCAGCTATTGTAGTCGAAGTACCATTATTTCAGAGTATAATTACCACCAAGATATCATATATAAATACATGGTCAAGTTTCCAGTGAAAAGGTTAGCACCAACTTCGAATATCTTCATATCTTGCAAGGTCTAATTCAATTACAATCAGGAGAAAAAAAATGTTAGTAAACTCTTCAAAGAAGCAATTACACACGTCAAGTTCCCAAGAAAAATAATGATGCTTAATAATGAAAGATATAGGAACAAAGATAATACCTTATTCAGACGTTTTGGTTTCCCCTGGAACAGATTCATGTTAAGAATTTTAATTGCCTTAAGAAAAGACGTTACCAGAAGGAGAGGACCAGGACTTACAAAGTCTGAAACTCTTTACAAAAAACACGACTACAATAGTTGTGTGCTTTGGTTTCTCGTGCCACCTGAATTCACCTATTTTATGAGCGCATTAATACAATTTAATTTATGGCACTGAAGTTGAAGAGACTTAATTTGGAAGGTTAAGGTGCTCCCAACAATCTCCCGTAAGCATTGTGAGAGATCTCTGGAGGTCTTGTGCAACATCAACCTGCATAAGCAACAACATGTAATCTTATAAAGAGCCATTACAGAAAAGTATGAATGTACCGTGTTAACAAAGACGAAACTGCTGGTTGGAGGTGTTTGCTGCGCATATATTAATTAGTTTAGTTATTATAGTGTCAAAGGAAACAAATTGAGCAGTATTGGTTGCATCAAACATGGTCATTTGAACACGGTACCTAGCATATATTATCCAGTGTAATGTAATAATCTCCTAGCATAGTATAGTTGTGGATTTGTTAAATTAATTGTTACAAAGTTTATTGAAGGTAGATAACCTAATAACTCCAACTGCATTGTCCTCCTGCAGAGAGCACATGAAAATGATGAGAACCCACGCTTCAATTTGCGGTAGAACTTGGAGCATAGCACTATCTAATTTTGTTTCTGTTTCACTCACAACACCAGTGCAAATGAACTCCGTAGAGTGTAGTTATTAAGATATTGTTAAAAACCACTTACTTGTCGTGCTGAACTTAGGAATCTCAGATTTGTAAGGGTTCTGAGTTTACTTGGGGTTGAGATTTCAGCATGTAATCATTAAGCTCTGCTAAAATCATGAGATTGTAATTAAAAAGCTTTCCAGATAACATCTCCCTAACATCGTCAATAACAAAACGAAATATTACTTAAAAAAATGAAAACAATACCTTCGAATAAAGCATCAGCATATCAACGCCCATCAACTGACAACTCCCAGAGACGGAGGAGTTTCGTCTGGACCATCTCCTTACCGTGTCATGCCTTCAAGTCAGAAAATATAAAGGTGAGATGTAGCCAATTTCGAAAATCCTGCGACAGAGTTTCAGAGTAAATCAGGCGGCCGCAAGTAGATGAATTCGTGAGGCCAGACCTAAGGTATATATATATATATATATATATATATATATATATATATATATATATATATATACACTTCAAGGAGCTTATGAACGACGAATTAATACTGCAATGAAGAGGAGATAGTGGGTATTGTTGATTGAAAGATATTAAAAGAAAGCGTTACTTCGCCGAAGAAGTCAAACGGTGGCGGTTAGGTTTTACGGCTGCAAAGAGAAGAAGGTTAACTTGGAAAAACTACAAAAAAATGGTAAGGAGTGGGCCATAATATATCAGGCTACAATATGCTATGACTAAGCCAAGCCTCTATAATAACATCCATTCAGCGAGGCCCAAAAGTAACATCGGAAGGGAAATGAAGAACATTAACACACGTGGCTTTTTTTGCCCCACCCTCTCTTGCTGATGTGGAGGCTTAAGAAGGGAGAATATTCTACTTTATTGTATAAGATTATAAATTGTGTAAATTTTAAAAAAGGTAATTTAGGAGGCCATTGGATAGAATCGAACCCCTTATCTAAGGGATCAATACTAGACTTTTCTACCACTGCACCACAGTTGAATAATAACACATAGTCTAGAAACGGAAATTTATAGGATTTTTGTGATTTCAGTTGACCCCGCATCCTCTCAAGTAGGTCAACCCTTGTTAGCAACTAAAAAAAATTTTATTACAGAAATATTTCCTATATGTAAGATAACAAAAAAAAAAAATAGTATATCTCTGCTTATATAGTATATCCTACAGAGTACCTAATTTTTATACATATAAAATCTATACAGTATTTTATATTCACACAATAAAATTAATTTTATAATTTTAAAAGTAATTATCTGCGCTCTACGACGATCTAGTTGTGATATTAACACTAAACTAATCTCTCTAAATAATTTATAAATATTTTAGAATTATTTATAGAAGTTTATAAACCCAATTCACACCTTAAATACTACTCTAAACAATAATCATTAAACCTCAAATCCCAAACACTAATCATTAAACACAAATGTTATGATTGAAGATATTTTTAAATAATGGTATCTAATTGATGGTATTATAAGCAATTTATATTTAGAAGTACCTAGAATCATGAAAATGTATTTTTAAAACAATGTTTTAAGAAAAAAAGTTATATTTGTTAAACAAAGAAAGTAGTAATCGTAGAAATAAAGTAAAATAATTTAAGTGATCTAAATTTAAAAAAACTAATAAAATATTTCTTAATATATAATTTAATTAATTACAGTGCCCTTAAGAACTTATCCTAGCTCTGCAACTGTTTACATTGCTTTATATATGTGAGGATGTAGAGTTTTTCATGAGCTTGTCTATACTTTTTTATCTGAGCCTCCTTAAAAAAGGTCTACCTATAGTTTCATGAACTTGACCGTTGGATCATACCAATCTGCATAAACACAAATGCACTTTTGCTGTATGCATAACGCCTCTTCTGGTGATCTTCACATAAGAACCTGTATCCATGTTTATATTGAGCTACATCCAGGAACCTTAGAAATCTGTTTCTCCTTCATCCACTGTCTCAAACTCTCAGCTTCATCAAACCGACCTGCAGCTGTATATAGACCAGCCAACGTCACATAGTAGCCAGCTTTTCCCGGCTTAAGTTGAATCAGCTTCCTCGCCACTCTTTCCCCTACTTGTACATTCCCATACACCTTACACCCACTCAACACCGCACCCATAACAGCCTCATCGGCTTTTACGAGCATTTCTTCCATAAACTTCTCTGCTTCCTCCAAAAGACCTGCTCTAGCCATACAATCTGCCATGCTAGCATAGTGTTTCAACTCAGGAACTATCTTATACTCATGCATATGTCTGAAATACAGCCAAGACTTGTCCACAAGACCGCCGTGTGCACATGCTGACAAGACACCAAGAAAAGTGACAGCATTGGGCTTGACTCCTTCTTGGAGCATCTCCTCAAACAGCTTTAGTGACACCACAACGTCCCCGTCCAATTTATAACCCAAAACAAGAGAGCTCCAAGAGATCACATCTCGGCGTGGCATCTTATCAAACACTCGCTGCGCATAGGCTAGCTTTGAACACTTTACATACATATCGACTACAGCATTGCCGAGATTCAAACCCAAGCAGGAGCATCTCCGGATACACCACCCATGTACACTCTTCCCATGCTTCAACATCCCAAATTGTCCACAAGCCATAACTAAACTCACCATCACCACCGAGTCAAGCGGAAAGCCATAACACATCATTTCTCTAAACAGAGGCAAACCCAACACAGCTTCTCCTTGCTGAACATACCCGCCAAACATACCCGTGTAAAGAACAGAGTCTCTAACGGGCATTTCATCGAACAACTTACGTGCATATGAGATTTCGCCCGTTTCAACATACATAATCACTAAAGCCGAACTAACAAACAAACTCACTCCGAATCCTAATTTGAAGCTCAACACATGAACCAAACCCCCGAGCCTCGCCTCTCGAGAGGCAGAGCAAGCTCGTAGGACAAGAGGAAGCGTGAAGTCATCGATTGAGATGGAGGCAAAGCCTGATCTGGAGAACTCGCCGATGATTATGTTTATGTTCCATGAGAAGATGTTGCGATGTGGCATGTACCAGAAGACGGAAAGGGAAGTAGGGAAGAGATGGTTGAGATTGGAGTAAGCGAGAACGAGCTTGGACCTGAGTACTACGTTGGAGTAATTGGAGGTGCGGAGAAGATGAGCGTGGAGATGGCGAAGATGGTTAATATTTGGGGATTGGTGTAGAAGAGAGAAGAGATCAAGATTCTGTGATGAAGTTCGAGCTGTGGTTGAGAGATTCTTCTTCGCCGGAAGACGATAGCAGGAAGAGGCAACCGCTAAGCACATTGAATCACAAACTCCACTCTCGATTATACCCCAAGGTTACAGATTAAGTGTGATTACAATCCTATATTGTTTATAGTATGAAATTTAGCCAAAAGAAGGCAAATTTAAATTTACTGGTAGAGCAATTTAGTACGAGAGAGAATATTTGTTGAACTGTTTTAGTTTTTTATTTTGTCCAATAAATGCAGAACTTGTTTGTGGGCTTGGCCGAAGAAATATGTGACTAAACTGTCGAGATACTCGCCGGATGGGATAGTGGACACCACACGTGAGTTTGGGCTTGATATATGGACCAATTTGCCCAATTATTTTAGTCAGATTCACTGTTTTTTGTCCGAGAAAAACACTTCCATGTCAACAGGTTGGTTTAGAGAGCATTAATTGTGGTTAATAGTATTAATAAATAAGCAATTATTGGAAATTTTTTCTACAGAAAAAGCGTAACCCTATCTCTTTCACAAAGTACTGATTTATTCAATTTTGTTGCAGATAGTAGTGAAGTAGGACTGTAAATTAGCATTACCTTCAACAATTATGACGAGAAAGGGAAAGCTAGGGCTGATGGTGGTTGGGCTGTTCGGATGTTAAGTGTTTGTTAAGGAATCTTCATTTATTATTGTTGGGGTCAAAATCGATACGACGGAATCAACAGCCAAAACTCCCCGCATAAATATAAAAGAAATCGTTTTATAAAACTTGAAGAATCGTTTTATAAAACTCGAAGAATCGTTTTATAAAACTCGAAGAATCGTTTTATAAAACTCAAAGAATCGTTTTATAAGACTCGAGAATCGTTTTATAAAACTTGAAGAATCGTTTATAAAACTCGAAGACTCATTTTATAAAACTCGAGAATCGTTTTATAAAACTCGAGGATCGTTTTATAAAACTCGAAGAATCATTTTATAAAACTCGAAGGATCGTTTTATAAAACTCGAGAATCGTTTTATAAAACTCAAGGATCGTTTTATAGAAATCGAAGAATCATTTTATAAAACTCGAAGGATCGTTTTATAAAACTCGAAGAATCATTTTATAAAACTCGAGAATCAATTTATAAAACTTGAAGAATCGTTTTATAAAACTCGAGAATCATTTTATAAAACTCGAGAATCGTTTTATAAAACTCGAAGAATCGTTTTATAAAACTTAGAGAATCGTTTTACAAAACCGTGAAAAACCAAAACCGCTATAAAACGTGAACTAGCCTCGTCCCGACTAGTTCGCCCAACGGCGAACTAGCCTCATCCCGACTAGTTCGCCCAACGGCAAACTAGCCTCATCCCGACTAGTTCGCCCAACGGCGAACTAGCCTCGTCCCGGCTAGTTCGCCGTTGGGCGAACTAGGAGCTTCCCGGACAGTTCATCGGCCGGCGAGCTGGACCGGTCCAGCTCGGTTCGCCGTACGTCGAACCGACCATCCCGAGCCTCGTTCTCCCGTATCCCAGATTCAGTGCTTACGTCCTTCGACACGGTCGTGTTCCAAACCACGGTCAAAATGTCTCCCGTTTCGTCTCGATCCGACCTATCATTCGAGTTTTATGATAAAAACCGTAAAATTTTGTTTTCTCGGAAAGAATTCGAGGAAATCGTATAGAACAGCAACGTTTAAACGAGACACCGAACATTGCCTAAAATATATGATTTTATTCGAGATTTTTCGTTAAAATCATAAAAAACGCGTTTTTAATAAAAACGTCGAGAAAATCGTAAAAAACGGCAACGATTAACCGAGAAACGAACGTAGCTAAACTTTACGATTAACTCGGGGAATTTACTAAAAATGGCATCGGATCAGGAAACGATCTCGTATAAAGTCGTAAAATGGATTTTATCGTAAGACGGCCCGAAAGGTTCTAAAACACGATAAAAACCCATCTCGCGATATTAACGAAATCTAACCCAAAGATACGATAACGTTTTGATGGTTTACTTGCAGAAGGAAGATAAATGTCAAGTTTGAAGATAAATGGCAAGTTTGAAGATAAATAGAAGATTTCCGCGGGAGAAAAGGAAGGATCAAGAAAAATGGAAGATTCCCGATAAACTCGAATTCGGTCGAAATGGAAAGACTAAAACCGCCTAGGAGGGATTATATAAGCAGGAGCCATAGAGCAGAAGCAGAGACACGATTTTCAGAGCTTTCACCACCAAATTTAGCAATTAGGATTTTTTCCGTTTTCTGTTAGCGAGCTGCGTCTTAACTAGAGTTTTCGGTCTTAGACTTCTAGAGTTAGGGATTTCGCTGACGGCTCACACAACTAAGGCCACTCTCGTTGTAGCAGTTCTTACACCGATAGGGAATAAAAACCTTCTTGCTCTCTATTTCTTAATTATCGTTGTGCAGTTCTGCAGATAGCCGGGTCCTCTGGAAACTTAGGTTTTACTCAAAGTTTCCTTATTTACGATTTATTGACCGTATGTGAATTTCGGTTCCCACAATTACTTATTTAGCTTGATTTTGTTAGACTAAACAGATTTTTTTTGTAGGTGTTAATCATTCCTATATCATTTTCATGGCTGGTTGTTAGATTTAGTACTAAAATAGGTGATTGGAATCTCAAGATTGATAATGACAGAATGGGGAGGGCAATCGATGTGGAATTGATAACCGCTGTTGATAAGCTTAAAGAAAGAATCGTAGAGGAATACTGCCTACTAGGAGCTCCTGTGATCGTAGAGCTCTAATATTGGCTTCATGGCGCGGTATCTGGTGAAAGCCAGTATCCACTTCAAATTTTCATCCGTGAGGACTACAAAATATTTACTTCGTTCAGGAAGGTGGACAGGGCAGTAAACGTTTCTGTCACATTTAAGGATAAAGTATATGGGAAAGTTGTTGATAACGTCAATGCGGTGAGAGTTGGAAGAACATCCGTAGTTGTTGTACGTGATGGGGCTGTCGTTACTGGTAATGCGATGAGAGGTGGTGAAGAAGATGTGTCTGATGATGCAACTCTTTTGATGCATGTTGAAGAAATAGAAGTTGTCTATAAGAAAAATTCTTTGGAATTTACGGAAGCGGATGTGACCGGAAATGAAAGTGAGAAAACGGTGTAGGAAAAAGATGGTGAGGTTAAGGAAGTGGATGAGGAAGATGAAGAATATTATGATTTCAATGAATGACATGCTTTTGTTTCAAGGAACTGCGATTGAGATGATGGGAAGGATGATGAAGGAGGAACTGGTGGAGGACAAAGTGGTGGACCAACTAAAAAACGAAATGTAAGTGTACATGGTCAAGTGTCGTAAAGAATTGCAATGGGAGGTAAGAAAGTGGATCGTTCGTGTAGCAAAGGCAGTGGATCAGCCGGAACCAAGCAGCGCATTGAAGATTTTGAATCAATATCATCATGTGAAGATTACATACATGATGGTAGAGACTACATAGGATCGTCGAGAAGTTGTTTTGGCGGTATTGATGATGAATCTAACATTTCCAAGGAATCACTTCATAATTCGCAAGAGCTTTTAGCTTTTGAGAGCATCTCGCAATCTATTGTTCTCTTACACCTCCAAAAGAAGCCAACCGGCATCATTGGGAACTTGTTGATGACGATAATTTTGCTGAACCGGTTCCTCGGTATGCTTCTGGTTCGTTGAACCCTTGCAAATTTTCACACCGTATGCTGCAGCAGCAGGAAGTTAATGATGATGATTTTATAAAGTCCATAGACCCTTGCAAATCAGAGTGCCTCAGTTTTCTTCTGCTCCGTACATTGTGCCTTAATTTTCTTCTGCTATGTACACTACTACCCGAGACACTTCGCAGCCTTCACAAGATATACCAGAAACAGACGATGATGATGATTTTACAGATCCTGCTCCTCAGTTTGGTTGCGTTGCCCAAGGAGACAATGGATACAAAAACAAATTAAATCATACGGTTACCCAGCGGAAGAAGACATGGAATGACCCATCGTTCTTGGATTTGAGGATGTTGAACCTTTAGTTCATGACGTCCGTATGAAGGATTTTTCTGTGGATGATATTGACGTCAGCAGATTAAGGATCATTCTGTGGATGATATTGACGTCAGCCTAGCAGATTCTAATATATACATTGGGTGGCTGTTCAACAACAAAAATGAATTTAAGATCCATTTGGCTATATTTGCCATTAAACATGTTTTCAGGTTCAGATTTCACAAGCATGTGAGAAACTATGTTACAGCTAAAATGCTTTGATAATACATGAAAATTTAATGTGATGGCTAAGAAAATGGGTGAAGTGTCAACTTATCAGGTTAGGAAGGAAACTCTAGCTCATACATGCTCATCCGATGTGAAAGTGCAGTTTACGAAATATGCAACGTCTAAAGTAGTTTCTTTCCTAATGAGATCAAAATATGAAATACTCCAGGCTGGACGCGTGAAGTTGAATTACTAGAGACCCTCCGGACTGAGTTCTTGTTTACAGCAACATATTAAAAAAGTTGGAAAGAGAAAGAGATGGTAAAATCTGCTGCTCAAGGAACTGAAGATAACTCATACAAGCTGCTAACCAAATATATTCATGTTGTGAAGCATGCAAATCCCGGGTCTATAATTGATATAAAAACGAGAAAAGATGACAAAGGAAATACAAGGTTTAAGTACGCCTTCATGGCGTTAAAAGCTTGCATTGACGGTTGGAGGCATCCACTAGTAGAAATCTATCGCATAGCCACGCTGGTGCCACGCAAATATCGTGGCTATATGAAAAAGCCACGCCACTGCCACGTTCTAGCCACGAAAGAAAAATTGCCACGGTAAATCTGAAAAAAAGCCACGCAAGTGTCACGGAAAATAAACGTGGCTACTATAGCCACGGTAAATCTGAAAAAAAGCCACGCAAGTGTCACGAAAAATAAACGTGGCTACTATAGCCACGGTACAGCGACGAAATTTTCGTGGCTAGTGTTTTGTTTTCTTGTGCCGACATCAAAACAACAATAATTGTACATAGCCACGGTTTTAACATGGCTATGGCGTGGCTGTGTTTAACTTTTTCAGTTCAAA